AATATACTTAATTTTATTTTGTTAGTTGGTTGCACAAAATAAAATAATCTGGATCCAGATACATTTTAAGTAGTTTTACAAATTGCTTTAAAAATGTATCTGGATGCAGATTTTTTTTTTTTTTAAGTAGTCTCGTCTACTTTCAAAAGGTATCTGGATACAGATGATTTTATTTTGTGCAGCCAACTAACAAAATAAAATTAAGCAAATTCAACAAAAACTTTTTTCAGTAAAAAAATGGAGAACTTCGGAAACACTCCTTTTACCTCTTTTCACAAATTTGAGAAGACTTTTAGTAGAGAAATGCTTGATTTCCTGGACACATTTTGCCATCAAATTAAAAGTGAGCCTGCGGTATTTTTCCTATTCTCTCGAAAAATGTCTCATTTTCAACGTTCTGCCCAGTTGCATTTCAAATGAGGAGTTGTGATTTACCGCATGCTTTGTTTTCGCGACATTTAGCATTCTAATTTCGGGAATTGGGGAATAAACGATCCGTGCTCATTTGGCAATGTGACCGATCACTGTCATGCAGTCCTTTGAATAGTGACGAGCTCGTGCATTGTTGTGTGCACCGTGGGTGTCCCGTTACCGTGTTAGGCCGTCATGTTTTGGAGTAAGCATTTGTTTGAACTGCACATCTTTTGTTTTGCCAGCACATCATCTCTTCCTAAGTAATGATGACTTTTCTTACCTTCCACCTCCCTGTGAAAAATCAAACACATTTATCACATGTTATGATGCTCATCCAAACGTGTATTGCTCTGCGGTTGTAAATCTATGATGAAAAAAACTGTACTTACTCTTCGTACTCCTCCTCCGCCACCTCCTCGTTGTCCGACATGACCAGCGGTGACCTTCAACACACACACCCTCAATTTATCCAGAAATCCTCAATTTAATCCTAATTTACAGGGCATCTATCTGTGAGTTATGTCGTGTAATCGTGGTTTTCCCTTCTTGTGTTGTGTGAAGCAAACCTGCGAAACGGTGATGCAGCACAACAAAGGTCCTATGGGGGAAGCGTCGGGACGAGTGTAAAAAGAATCAAAGTGGAAAGCTTAAAGGCTGCACCAGCTTTTGTTGGGTTATTAATAACTTTGAAGATAGCCCCCGTTTGGCGTTATCAGCAGAACCAAATAAGGTAGAGTGTAAATGCAAACACACACAAACACACGTCCTTCTATGGCAACCATCCCGCTGACAAAACACAGACACGGAACTCTAATCTGCAGAGATAAGAGGATGGTTATGTCTAAAGTTAGACTGTTCAATTATAAAGTCTATTGAGAGTTGCGAGGCATTTGTTATCATTTTGCTTTTACTCCAAACAGTGCTTCCAATGAAATTGGAGAATATATATATATATATATGCAGCCATGCGGTGCTAACTGTAACTGTAAAATACATGTTTCTATTCAGCAAAGTGTGACAAAAGGTTCGTTTGAACTTCCTTGAACACTGGAAAATAAACATGTTAGACTATGCCATGAATTATAATTATTTCCTTTCGAAACTAAAAAATAAATCTATATATTTAAAATGTTTTAGACGTGTCCTTGGCTTTCCACTGAGTTCAGCTACCCCTAAAAATATGCGTTTTGTGCAGTTCAATAATATGAATGTATGTATGTATGTATGTAATTATTACATGCATTACATGCATACATACATACTATGTATGTATGTATGCATATATACGAACGTACCTGTGTTTGTATGTGTGTATTATCAGTGTTCAGACTTGAAAAAAGACAGATTAAATCTTAAAATATTTTATTTCTTTCTCATTCACAACAAAATATTTCACTTTTAGATTGGTGAATGAACTTCATCAAACCTTCACCTGTTCAACGCACAGTACTTAAATACTGAAAAAAATGCATTTGTACTTTTAACATGAAATAACCGTTCATGGGAGGCACGGTGAGCCATTGGTTAGCCCTTCTGCCTCACAGTGCAGAGATGCAGGGTTCATTTGTGGCTGTGGCCTTCCTGTGTGGAGTTTGCATGTTCTCCCCGAGACTAGGTGGGTTTTCTCCGGGTACTCCGGTTTCCTCCCACATTGCAAAAACATGCATGGCGGTTTGATTGGGCACTCCAATTTGTTCCCCTGGTGTGATTGTGAGCGCGAACGTTTGTTCGTCTATGTCTGTTCTGTGATTGGCTGGCAACCAGTTCAGGGGTGTACCCTGCTTACTGCCCGAAGACGGCTAGGATAGGCTCCAGCCCCCCCCCCCCCACCCCCGCGACCCTCGTGAGGATAAGTGGATCACTAAACAATTGGGTGCATAACCAATCCGAAATGAGCAAGAAACACCATCGTTTTCAGTCTTTTGCAAAACTACAACTTGTATTGTTTTACTTTTTTTCCTCCAGAAAGCTAAACAGGAACGAGAAAACAGATAAGCTCAAGCAAGACAAATACAAAATAATTCAAATGATTAAATTTCCCATATTTACAAAGATTCAACAAGGTCAAATTAATATGACGAAATAATCTTTCACTTGTAGATTCTTCCTCGTTTGACGTTTGTGACATTTTCATGGCTTCTCAAACAAACTCCTCTTGCTGTTGATGTCCACATGTTTGAAGTCCTGCAACACAACATTGGAAGATTGTTGCTGGCATTTGAACAGGAAAATACGCAGTGTTTGTCTTTAAAAAGTATTTGAAAGGAGAGGAGTGGTTGAAAATCGCACGCATTTAAAAGGACATCCACTTGAAAAGGCGATCAGAAAGAACTAAATACTGTATCCAATTACTGTGTTCTGAAATTGAGCTGCAGTGAATAGGCTCCATCTAGCGGTAAAAGAAATAATCTCTGTTCACAGTTCAGTCATGTTTATTTTTGAAGTACTGTACAACTCTTGTGTTTACTCATTCAGAGAATAATCTCTGTTCACAGTTCAGTCATGTTTATTTTGAAGTACCGTTTTTTAAGCTTTTATTTAGATTAATTTATAAGTTAATGCTATCTGAATCGCGAAGTCGTTTTTTTTAATTCCTTTAAGTGCAATTGTGCAATTGCATAATATTACAGTGGCTTGGAATAATAACTTTTAGGAATAAAATCCTGTTTTGTGTTTGATGATGTGCTTTAATATTGGTCGTGATGGTGTAAAAAGTGTTGTTTTAATTCTACCCTGACAAAAAAAAAAAAGGGGAAAGTTATGGGCTGCGTCCTTACATGCTTGGAAGGCCTTATTTGGCTGGCTGCTTGCGGCTCCTTCTCAAATAGGCCCCTCTTCCTGGACACCTCGTCGAGCAGGTACAAGGCACGCTGGCTCACGTCGGGAGATCGACCCGTTTCCGATTTCTGTGCAAATGCCAAATGAAATAAATCCGACTGATATGTGCTTGATCATTCTGAAGATCCGACGATACCGACTTGAGCAGCCTGGGCAAGTCTTTCCATCTTCTCCTGGATGGATCGAGATGAGACTCGTTGCACGGAACTACACAAAAGTTCCATTGTGGTGAGCCAAGCAGGGAATTTAAAGGTCTTCAAATAGACAAGTTAAAAATAACACTCACTTCCTCTGGAAAGGTGCTGCTTTGTCCTCGTTGAGGGCTTCATTCTGATCCAAACCAAAGGACAGTTAATATAATTAACACACTACTTAATCTGTGACCCAAGCAAGTGACACTGTGCGGACAAAGGTATTGAGACATCTGTTCATTTTGCCGGCAGCGATTATAAAGTGACTCTAGGGATTGTCTTCCTCCAGAATGGCATCTGATGGAGTTTTTTGTCCATTCTTCCAGAAGGGCATTGGTGATGTCAAAGGTTGCTGATGTTGAACCTGCAAGAAGGCCAATCTTACAATCTGGGTTCTCGTTCATCCCAAAAGTGTTTGATGGGCTTGTTCTTCCAGAACTGAACTCATCCAAGAATGCATTCTTTTAAACTTAGCAGTCAAAATTAATAAGCTATTGAAGGTGACCTATGGGGTACCTCAAGGGTCTGAAATCGGCCACAAATTATTCATATTACTGTATATATTAATGATGTATGCAATCTTTTAAAACTATTTAAATACGTTTTACTTGCTGATGATTTAGTCAAATTCCATACTGTGCAAATAATGTACAATGTACATAATTTGCTGTGTCACGCGGTTCATAAACTGAAAACAGGGACTTGTTATGATTTGAGGGGAGCTGGTGTTCTTCAAAAAACACAAGACAAGGGCTTACAAAGCAAAGATATGTCTCTGTTAAAGGTATACATTTGTGGAATAATCACAATGATGATCTGGAAATATTTTTTGTTGGCTTGACCAAGTGGAAATTTTTCATGTCACAAGTTTGTTTCGTGAGATACGTTTTGGTTTTGTTATCATGATTTCATTTCACCCCGTGAAGTGATGAATTTTGTGTTTCAATTACGTAGTTTCTTTGTTGAAATCTGTTTGTTTTATTAAAAAAAAATAGAGGGGCATAGGCTTGATTAACTGTGGTTTCACGCTACACCTTTTCAGTTGGCAAGTTTTCCAACAAAACTTTGTACGTATTAGTGTATTTGGAGGTGGACTGAATCTGATCGAAGAAATCAGGGATGATCAATAGGTCGATTGCGATTTTGTGTTAGTGCACACTGCACCCTTAGCATCTTGTCAGTCTCGCTTTTACAAAACAAATTTCAATAATAAAATAAAATAAAATAAAATAAAAAAGCAGGTCTCCTTTAACCTACGGCGGCGCGTGACCTGCTTCACCGGAAGTTGTTAGCGGTTAGCAATCTGCAATTGCAGCTTGCGATCAGAGCTGTCGCGCAATATATTTTATTGTTTTTATTCTTGTCATTCAAAGTTTGTTTCATCTACAATTCACCGAGGGCACTGGCAAAGAATGGAAATCTGGAGTGCCGGGAGAAGCATTTTAAAACGGTACACGTGAGCTCCGATCGTGAACACGCTGCAAAAGTGCGTCCCATGCTTCCGCGTCAGGTCAGTACTACTAAGGTAGGCAGTGATTTCCTTTTAACAAACTCCCAAACTTGTGTGTCTACTTTATTTTTCTGTTTCGTTCCTTATTGTTATTGCTCATCATGCGTGTGGAAGTGCGTGCGTATGCATCGACCCCCCTTGAAATAAATCATTCCATCAATCAATAGTGGGACAACATTGGCCTTTCCAAAACTGGTCCCACTGTTGGAAGTCTAGATCTGTCCAGATTGTCTGAGTAAGATCATGAATAAATATTTGGAAGGAGCAAATCCGACGGAATCAAGGATGTGTCAATACCTTTGTTCTCATTGTGTACTTTCAAGTTAGCGTACACTGACTTTTACCTTGTTGGATTCAAACTTTTTGGAGGCCACCCTGACGCTTGCACTAAAATAGAGGAAAAAAATAGTAAACAGTCGGAAATCAACAATTCACACAAGCCCAAAATCTGATCATCGCACCTCCTTTGCAATGGCGAACTCTCTTCCTCTTTCTTCCTCATCATCTGTAGACCAAGCATATGTTGTGTGTCTTAACACCAATGTTGGCATTTGCCTGGTGCAGTGTGCATGTAACTGTGTCATGTATTATTGTTGTTAGGGTGCTAAGACAATGAGTGTTGCAGTGATGTGTTATGCATTTACCCGAAAAGAAATTGTCCGGGAGCTCTTTCTGATGAAAATAGGTTTACTCGGCTCCTCTGGGTTGTTGTTGGTCGAAGAGCACATCACGACGGTCTGAGATATTGTACAGCAAAAGAATTTCAGAGCAGATTGGTCACATTCACCAAAATTGTAATTTTCACCCGTGGTGCCACGCGAGAGATCGTCAGTGAAGTTGTCTAATTTCACATAACTGGTGTGAAAATGATCATTAAATTACTACAAAATAACGTATCTGTTCATCTGTCCATTCCAGTGACAATTAAACAATCGTGTGTGTGTGTGTGTGTGTGTGTGTGTGTGTTATTTTTGATATGTTTATATTGTGCCTTTATACATAAATTCAGTCCTTAAGAGGTGCAGTCCACATGTTTACATGTCATTGTTTCAAGAAAAAGTTAAAGGGATAAATCCACAGATTTGTTTGCATTATTGTTGTCATTTGATTTATCTCTTCCTGAGTTCTTTTCGGCACTCTTGTTTGGTTGGATTGTGTGAGGTTGTTGGAAGGGAATGTTTAAAAAAAAAAAGCATGTCAAAGTGTTTACTTAGTAAATTGACAACACTATGAAATTAGACAAACTGTCTATTATTTTAATTCATGGTTCATTTGCCCCATTTATTTATAAGACTAGCCTAGAAAACCAAAACATTTCTGTATAATGTATCTGGTAGCTTATTGTCATATAGATTTGTGTATTGCTTGTTTGTTTAAAAAAAAATGCGCCTTGACTCAGAAAGGTAAGGAAACTGCATTCAAGTCGAGCAATTTCAATCGAGGCGAGTCTGCCATGACAACTCTTGACACTAGCAGAGATGAAAGTCCTCCGGATTTTCCCGGAATTCCGGGTTTTTCAAATTTTTATGAAAATTTCTCCGGAGAATTGAGGAAAATAAAATTAATCCGGATATTAGTTGACAACATTGGACGAAGACGCGTTTGAGTTCGTTGTATTGCTTTCACGAGCGTAGCCAGATTGAGGCACTAACACTAGTAACAGTAAAGAGATTTTTGTTTGTGTAATAACGACCGAAGACATGATGGCGTTTGACTAATGGTTTAGTAGAACGAATGGCAACTCGCAACAACAGTAGCAAGCGTCATTTTGCCACTTGGGTTATACCATCTCAACTAGAATGTGGGGGTATAGTCCCCAAACAATTTTCGTCTCTTTATAAACACACTTGCTAAACCCCAGTGGAACGAATAAAAGACGCTGTGGACAAGACAGTTGTCGTAAAAAAATATATTTGGCCAAAAAGGGAAAAACACAGATTGGCAGAAAATCGTGTCCGTCCGACTTCGAGTGTCGTCTCGGCTAACTTAGCTTAGCTGTTGTCGTGTGTGACATCATTTGCGTCGGCGCTGATTGGTTGAAATCAAAAGACGCGCTTGGCTTGTGACTGTATGGCTCTGCTCAATGTCAAAAAATGGCAACAGCTCTCTCTAGTGCAGAGATTAAAGTGGACTTTTCTGAAAATTCCGGGGGAAAAAAATAAATAAATAAATATATAAGTGTGTGTGTGTGTGTGTGTGTGTGTGCGCGCGCGCGCGCGCGCACACACACACACACACACACACACACTTATATATTTATTTATTTATTTTTTTCCCCCGGAATTTTCAGAAAAGTCCACTTTAATCTCTGCACTAGAGAGAGCTGTTGCCATTTTTTGACATTGAGCAGAGCCATCGAGTCACCAGATTACTCTTGCGTTGTGCGCGTGTGCATTTACCTGTGGCGCGTGTCCATTGGGAATGGGGCTTCTTGGCCCTCGAGGGGAGGGGCTACTGCAAGGTGAGGGCCATTGTTCTTGAGGTGACCTGGGGGTCATTGGCGAGAGGGGGCTCACGGGAGTTGTGTGCCCGCTAGCAGAGGGGCTCTTGTTGAGAGAGATAGAGACAGAACTACAACAACATAAACACAAGAAAGCGTGATGGAGCAACGGCTTCCTTCTCAGCAAAATATATACGCAATTTCAAATGGTGTTATGTCACATGTCCAAGTCAAGATTGTTTCGTGCTCTCTGACAAGGAACTGAATAGCAAATTTTACAGCATCGAAGTCAATTTCTATGCCTTTCTGTCACTCTTCCAGTTCCTCTGCTGCAACCTGCTGTCAATGTAAGCTCAGTGTTCACTTCCCTTGTGAACATCCTGTTTAAATAATGATGGAAGTGATGGTTGTCTCATGATGGTCAGAATGTGAACAGCATGATGAAGAGGACTTTGAAATAGCGTATTGTAGCGGTCAATTTGTGGCTCAAGCGCCTTTTGTGAATATTGCTATTCAGCTTTTTGTCATTGTATATTTTCTTTGAATCTATATTGACACTAAAAGAGATGAAAAATAATGCTTGTTAACCTGACAAACTTGTGTGTTGGGTTGGATGGTTGCCTGGAAACGGGGTCTTTCTCTGACGATACTCCATTTTCTTGCTAATAAAGACAAACAGCAGATGGCATCAACACAAGTATGACGCTTTTGTGCAAAGTCACCTGATACACACCTCGCATTACATAACATCCTTGGGGCAAGGCCCTCCCTCATTGAGTCTTGTGTTATAAAAAGTTCCTTCTATAAATCTCGATGGTCACTTGAGTCACCAAAGACTGATAAAGGGGAATTTTCATTTTCTGATCCGCTTATTCTCATAACGGCCACGGGGTGATCGAGGAGAATGATACCGCTTATAAAACAGATTGTGTGCGAAAGATCAAAGGGAGTGTACTACAATGCAAGGATTGTTTTTGTCGGTTGAAATACGACAAACAAATATAATTCTTAATGATTTAAGCAAAGGGTGAGTTAAATCTAGAAAACAACCCCACATGCAAACTGCCACGTGCTGGCCAGTCTTCCCTGAAGCTTGGAGAAGCGGAAATTGTTGTCCCCCCACCCCCCTTATATTTTTGCCTTTCTATATTCCTTGTGTGCTCCCATGACTGAGTTGTTGTTCCCAAACGTAGATGATGATTAACATGACTCTGTGTGGGGCAACAGCAGACTGCCGGCACTGTGTGGCATTTCTCCAACTCAACCCCCTTGGTGCTCATCTCTGCACAAATGTAATCACCCCTCCGCCGAGTAGTACCATTTCTTCTTCAACAACTACAGTATTTCCAAACTAAAATGATCAGTTGAGTGACTGGAATTATGAATTTTTGGAGATTTGCCAATTCCTTGTTTTGACTTGTGGGCGCAAACTTGAGATACAAGCACTGTGTGGTGGAAGATAACTCACTTTACAACGAGTGGCAGTTTGGCAGATACGATAAGTAAATACTGTTTGAAAAAAAAATGTTCCAAGCTGTTTATTGCCACTCTCAACTAAAGGTTACTGTCAAACTAAACTTCAAACCAAGAGAATTACACATTGTATATTTAGAAAAATTACATGGCCTCTGCTCAATTGATGCTAACATACAATGGGAAACTCCATAGATACATGGGCTAATAATTAGCATCTATGTGGAGGTGTTGTTACCATTTAAGTATCTGAACAGAAATGGGGCTGCAACACATGCAGACACTATAACAATACTCACAGGCATTTAATCTGTATCCCTTGTAACTAATATTACTGATGTAGTGAGAAGCCGAGAGAGGAGCTGAGCATTCAGTCCATTCGATAAGGTTGTCTTATACGGCCTCCAGAATGAATAGCACAATTTAAGGAGAAAGTTTGACAAAAAATGCATGTACAATATTTTTGTCTCAACCAACGCGCTTCTAATTCTCTCAATACATTAAATCAAGGATGGGCAACTAAAAAAAAGTTTTACTTTTTTCAAATTTTTTAAACCTTCCTTGAATCATATCGCAGCCCATATTTTGAGAGATGTATCGAATTGTCTTTTATTGGAGAGATGCATTCCTAATGTCGAGGCGTAGTAATATAAAACGTGTCTTACCTGTCCGTTTGTGTGGATGTTGATGTCCTTGGGAGGGCAAGGTGTCACTTTTTGTGGCTGCTGTGATTTGCTTATGAGTTTGTGCTGCTGCACGGTTAGCTCCTCCCTCAATCCTCCTTCTCCGCCAGACTCTTCGACATCCTCTCTCACCACCTTCTGGCGCCTCAGTGACTCCATGTGCCTCAACCTTCGCTTCTCATCCCGGACACGCAGTATCTCCATAAAGTCCAGCTGCATCTGCTCCGCACTGAAAATAAACGACACATTTGTGAATGAAATGTATGATGGCTGTCCTCGAGAAACCACCCACAAACATTGTCAAGCATGGTTCAGTTTCCCAGAAAACTCCTTTGATAACCAGAGTCACTGCTTTTGACAAATTCCACATTTCCATGCACGGCGTCCGCTTGAAATGTATACCGATGACACATTCCCGTGAGGCAAAGGTGTCAAATGCCTTCTTCGCTATTGTCTCTGGGAAGCCAACCAGCCACCATAAAAGCAGTGGAAGTCTCACCATGGCACCTTGGATGCCAGTTGAAGAAAAAATGAAAGCAAAACTAAAAGATGGAACGATGCAAAAGTGGAGCACACACTTGTAAAAAAATATTGAAGAAGGAATTATTATATGAACTAAACCTGCTAGAGCCCGGCGTGGTTTCAGGTGGGGGGTCGGACACCTGGTTGCTTGTGGGCGTGTCAACGGGTTCCGCGCTAAAGTCGCCCTCGGAGTCACAGGCGCCGCTTGAGCTCTTCACCCTCCTCCTCCTCTCCCTCTCCACCTCCTCCTCATCCTCCATTGTCCACTGGCGCGCCAAACTAAGGACACAGTGCACATGTAAGGTCGTAAAATGGAAACGGCTCATCTAATATCAAGCACAACGTCACGGCAACTGCTATAAGGCGATGAATGTGTCACAGCAGTTGAAAATAGATTACGGTTTGAATAACTGCTCGTCCAAACCTGCTTTATTTGCTCTTCAAGGGCTGGGCTGCTTTATATCAAATGTTAGCAACGTAAAGCCTGCAGCCTTTTACAAGTGACTCTTACTATGCTCATTATTACTCGTATGACCATTCAAAAAAAAAAAAAAAACACTGCTTGGAACGAGCTGTTTGAACTGTAAGAAAGACAAACATTCCAGCATAAGTGTGCCATGTTTAGTTAGTTGGTATGTTATGACTAGTGACCACAAGCCATTAGATTGAGCAGAGAACATCGAGCATCATAAAGTGCTTTCAATGGGACTCCATTTCAAATCACGGTGGTCAGTGATGGGGGCATCGTGATTTCCTAGGAATGTTGCCAAAGTGATGATTGCAAATGTTGAGATAAGGTGTTGCGTATTGATATTTATCTGTTTCCAACTTTGTTAAGACCTTGGTTGTAAGTGTGAGTAATCATCAACATGATTAGTACAAAGTAGCTTCACATATCAAAATGATTTGTTGTTAATAAGACCAAATAAATGTCATTTGAGCACATTGATTTTACGAGTGTGTATCAAACCCGTCACTCCAATCAGTACCTCGAGGTCTCGGTTTTAAAAACATTAGTAACCTGCAAATAATCTGAGTGAGGTGAATAGAAGTGTTTGCCTCCGCAGCCTGTCACATTCCGTATCATACGTGTCTTCAGAAAAAGCTCTTTTCAACTGAAGTGACACTCACCTGGACAAAGTGGACCAGTTTCTCCGGCTGACGGACATTCTGGATGAATAATGCGTCCCGGCGTACTTGATTCCGACTGAAATGCAACTGACAGGCACTTGGAGGGCGGTGGCCAGTTCGCAGCACTAAACAATCCACCTTTACCCTGTTCACTGAGGTGTCACATAACCACAAAGGTGAGCCACCCACCTGAGGGAGACATGGCGAGACATTGAACAGACCCTTTCATTTTCAGCTAACAGAATTAAACAATAACTGGAGCCAAATGATGATCAGGAGATGGTGGTGGTTCTGTTATACGTTGCGACTATTAGCACAATTTTGCATTCCAGCTAGTTTCAATACCAGCTCTTCAGTTCAGGGTAGCTGGCAAATTAAGGGGATGTATCAAGGGAGGCTTTGAGTTAGAAATATCCCATGCAGCTCTTTGAGCTACCTCGACCATGCTAGTTTTCTGCAATTTTTGTGCCTTACAGTCCCCATCTAGTGTAAAACTTGCATTATTCACCTTTTCTATCCTTCGCTTAACCCATGTGTCATATTGGTATTGGTATTAAAGAGTAGAACTAAGACCATAACGTGTCCTCGTATCAGAATTGCAGCAGTCATCATGGGCTTCAGTGCAACGAATTTAGTGATGCCCCCTGGTGTCCAACATGTAAATAGGACAACAGTTCTCTCTGAGCTCTCTTTTTTCCTCACAAAAATGTTTCTGTGTCTCATCGTGCGATTCCCTGCTGCAATGTATACACTCTGGCTTGCCAAGTAACTCTTACATGGCAATTCCCCACGACCTATCAGGCAGTTATTTCACACCAAATCCTACTATATATATTCTTTTGAGCCAAATTCAGCCGCTCCTAATCACACACTGAATACTGCTGATGAAACAAAAAAACGTTATTTGTCCCCATATGATACTGTCTACAAATGGAGATAAAAAGCAACCTCACAATATGTGTGTCCAGTTGGGTGTGTGAGTTCTTGTTTTGTTTGCTCTTCTGTAGAAGGTTTCGCCCTTTCTTGAAGCCCTGTTAATTTAATTTGGACTCTGACCCGGGATTTGTCCTACTTGTGCACACTGCCTCACCTTGTTCAGCTTTATGTTAGAATATGAAGTGTTGTTCTGTCCTACAATAACAGTAATTATGATACTTCCACGTGCAGTTCTGCACTGACATGCCCACAATATAGGGATGGCAGATGAACCAAAACCTAAAATTTGAACTCGGAACAAGCGCTGAAAGACATTTAGGGCTCTATTTTCATAGCCCATGCAAAGCTTCGAAGTAAATCTTAGTAAATTTGATCAGAGCACTTGCAGACAACTTCAGAGGTTATGCGGTGGCCGTACTTGATTAAAAATGTTAAATTCGGACATGAAACATTTTGAATCATTATATTTTATTTTTTAAGTTATTCCACTGGGTGGGCACATGAACGATTGAGGTGTGAAGGGTGGTCTTCACATGCCCACTTTTCGATGCAAAAGTGTTTCTGCCCGATAAAGACTCTCGTGTGTGACTAGAGCTGCTTTAATAGGCCATTGGTGAAGTTGCATGTGACCATGCCCACAGCAGCGCAGCACTGCCTCTCGCAGATCCACCGGCCTCCACTCATCTATGAATTTACTCGCCTCTACAGGATTACGCCAGATGACACGACAGATTTACGCCGGTGACAAAAATCGAGCTCTCATTCATTCAGTGAGTTTCCCAAAAGCAATAGCCCATTTGTTGATTGAAGCATCCATTAGGAGGATTATGCAAATGTATAAAGACGTCTTAGCGCAAACTCCTGTTGAGAGGTGCGGGCAGATGGGACAAGCAAGAATCAACTTTTTTTTGTTTAGTTCCTGAGAAGTAAGATTGAAAGAATTTACTTTGGACTCAAGCCAAACAGAGCCAGCAGATGGGGCTGCAATGAAAAAAGTTTGCTGAATTGCAATGACCATCACCAACAAGATTGCAGTCGCACAACATTGCCTGGCAAGTCATTATTACATTTCCTCACTCATGTGGATAAGTATAAGTTGTATAGTTTGGGCTTGGAACAAATAAGTGATGTACAGGCACACTGGATAACTTTCAATTAAAAAAAGAAACAAACAAACAAACAACCCCCCCCCCAAAAAAAAAACAATGTTGTGAAATCCCAGTACTTGGAGATATGTGAGGTAGAGGGATTTCCTTGAGGATGTCTGTCACAGATAAAAGCAAGTGCCTTGTTGTGAAATTGATGACGTGTGGAATCCATCTGACCAACCCAGAAACCTGAAAGGCCATTGAAGGCTAACCTAGACACGATAAGTGCACCCATCTCCGAAAATGAAGTTCAGTCTAAGCCAGACAGCACAGGCAAAGAAAACCATTCCGACGCTCTCAAAGTTGCATTGAGGACGCATCATTTTTTCAGCATGAAAGGATTTAAATTTGTATTTGTTTAGAATGTTGGACAGACAGCTGTGCAAGTTAAACATACAGAAACAAGTACATAGTGTCTCATGAATAGTTTTATTGTATGCTATTATGTCGAGTATCGTGGATAGTGGGATTTTTAGCGGAAATCCAACATTACAAGGCGTATCATGCCCAGCACTTCTAGTGTGTCTTGTTGATTTTTTTTTTTAATATATATTACTTGACAAATCCTTCTTCCATACTAAAGACCAAAACCAAAACAAAGCATCCCACCGCAAATAATAAAAACAAACGTTAAAATATTCGTACACCCGCTCTAAAAACTAATGGAATCGAATTGAATTTGAAAGAGAAAAGTTAAGTGTCTATTGTATATAAACTATTGTAAATTTGTGTGCCAAATGCAACTTGAGACCCCACCATTTTAAACCATTAAGGCCGTCTGAATACTGTCCACTTGGGGCTGTTATTTGGAGGTAACACAAAACATCACAAAGAAACCTGATTGATTTTATTAGGATGCAAGTTTTCTTAATGTCTATCACGACTCCAAAGTTTTCAAATATGAGGATGAAAGTAGTCATAAAGCCTATAGACCATAGTGTCAAACTCAAGGCCCGGGGGCCAGATCCGGCCCACTACGTCATTTTATGTGGCCCGCGAAAGCAAATCATGCGTGTCAAACATCGATGATCATTGCTCAAATCTGGACAGAAATGTCCAATTGTCACGTGTAATAAATAACGTTGAGACTTTGTAATACATTTTTTGACCCTGTTTACACTCACTTGGACAATAATTGCACAAACATCAAAAAGACAGTTGACTGATTTCAAAACTAGTAATCCATCAATCTAATTTTTTTTGTGTACAAGTAATAATACGATGTATTCAGTTTCACTGTCGTAGTGACCCTCCGAGGGAAGACGTAACTCCAAAGAGGGAAGTGACAAAAATGAGTTTGACACCCCTGCTATAGACAGTCATGTCACGAGGTTAAAGCAAATCCAGCTGTGCGGTTTTGGACATTGTCTTGTGTGAAGTGAAGAAGCTGAGCTGCATTGTGAGAAAGCCACCACGGGCCGCGGGAGGAGCCTGTGTTGCGGGTTCACTGAGCTGAACCCTTGGCAGCGTCAAACATCTTCTTTCTTCCCTCCATGCCTGACATGGCCTCCACATTTTTCCTCCAGTCACTGTCCTCCACTGGCCTCTTCTGTGGTAAAGAAAAGTGATACATTTCTTTTTGACTGTATGCCTTATAATAACAACTTAATAGGGTTTACAGGGCTGGAGTTTACAGTACATGCTTTGGCTGAGCGCGCGCACACACACACACACACACACACACACACACACACACACACACACACACACACACACACGCACTGAACAGCAAGCACAATTGTACACAAAGGCTTCCCTTCTGTGTACAATGGCATCATTGTCTTGGATTTGGTTCCTCCCCTTATACACAAAGCCAGAGCAACACAGCGATTCACAACTCTGCATCCTGATTACACTTTTGTCACACACATCCACACACTTTTTATTCAGCACGTAGGACCTTTGTTTTGCACCGCGCAGTACACACACACCTTTTCCGTGTCCTCTTTCTTGACAGACTTGAGGTTGGCTCGGAGGTCCATCGAAACTTTGTGCTTCGAGCCCAGCAGCGAGCGCAGGATTGCGTCAGCAGACACGCGAACGCGCCGTAGGGTGGGTCTCTTGAATTTCCCCCTCAGGTCCAACACTTTGATGCCCAAGTCTTGAATCTGGAGCAGGGAGGGAGATACTTCATGTCCGAAATGGGAACAAACATTTTATTATTTGAAGCAAATGGCCGTGTATGGAGCAGGTGATGTACCTCTCGTGTGTTGAGCATCACTTTGGCCTCGATATCATATCGCTCCTCATCTACCTCGTCAATTTTGGCATGGAGCTGTCTGCACAGATCCTACATGTCGAAGACACACACACACACACACACACACACACACACACAAGATAAGTAAATCATATTTAGGATGCTTAAAAGTTGCCTGTAGGAAAATAATCGTCATTGTTCTCATTTTGAATGACTGAGGAGTCATTTGTGTTCTGCAGGTCCAAGCCAGGGGCGAAGCTACACGGTGAGCAGGGTTGGCCAAGGACACCCCTTGTCAGTCTGTGGCCACCCTCATACCTCGTGGAAAATTTGGATGTGTGATTTTTCTGCCATTTTCCCATAGATACAGTGTTGTAAGACTCCTTGATACTCTGCCACAAGTTTTTAATTCACTAACTGTATATTTAAAGACTGAATGCGAACTCTTAAATAATCTGTTTTATGTGTAAAAAATAAACCACAATTTTCACAGTCAATGGCAATTGAAATCATTACTTTCACACCAAAGCAAGCCAACAAGAAGGTCAAAAAGTCATCATCATACCATCGGCAGTCGTGGTTTCATGAAATAAAATGCGCACACATATACCAATCTTAGACCCAGAAGCAAGCAGGAACAAACATAAGTAAAATGCAATGTTTAGAATGAATGAAGAAAATGCCATTTTCTAATAAATTAAGCCCAGCAAAATGTTGCTTTAAACTTTTGTTCCTGCATTACTATTAGTGTAATGGGCATTGCTCTGGACGTGTGAATATTATTTAATGAAACCCACTCACTTAGGTGGATTCACCCTCTCCACCCCACCGGAAAATTTCAGACATTGTCCAAGCACCTGTAACTGGGCCACGCTCATGTGGCTGATGTTGAGGGATGGAGCTCTTTCAGCCAGGTATCTATGTTTCTCCCGCTCTTTATCAAGAATCTCTTGCTCGAGTTCCTCCTTGGCCTTGGCCACCATCAGACTCTGGAAAAGACAAAAAGATATAACACAGTGACTGCAGAACATATCTGCTGCCCACCTGTGGCCAAAACAGTGTTTCGTAGTTCCTCTCACCTTGAGCATTAGCTTCCGTGAAGCTGAAATCTTTGGTTTTCTCTGGATGAGGAAAATGACATCATGTAACTGCTGAAGTAGTCTTGTTGATTAAGTTGAGAGTTGTACTTTCGGAATTGGTGTTCCTGTAAGTCAGCTCTTACCTCTGGCCTGTAAGAGACACACGCAGGCAAGAGGAGAAACCATTTGATATCAAGACTTTTGAAGCTGTGAAATGTTTCATTTGTTTTTGTTGTTATTCATACCTTGGCCAAATGTTGAGTTAGTGAGTTGCAGTGGACCGGTAAAAAATTGAAAACGTTTTTTCAATGCGCCAATGTGCAAATCCTCGCTGCCGAACTCACTGTATTTGGGGGTCCACTGCACAAGTAATGTATGACGCGAGATTTTCGAAAACGTCTTCGACATATTAAAAAAAAAATAGAGGTAAACAAAATTCTGATATTCACGATTATTGTGGTAATTTTTCACAATTACTTGCTGCTGTAAATTGAGAATCTCTCCATAGTGAGACAAATAAAAGTTTTCTTATCGTATCTTATTTTATAGTACAGTTGCATCCAAACATTGAAATGTGTTATTGATTATAATGCTGCACATTATGCGAGACATTACATTTTAGTAGGGTGCAAAAGTTATAAAATCAGGAATATGAAAAAAAACCCAAACATACTAATGACAAGTATTTGCACCTTGTGGAGAACTTCACAGAAAATTTACCCTAAGCGGGTATTAATCATTTTGGGTTTAGCTGTGTGTGTGTGTGTGTGTGTGTGTGTGTGTGTGTGTGTGTGTGTGTGTGTGTGTGTGTGTGTGTGTGTGTGTGTGTGTGTGTGTGTGAGTGACTGAATAATCTATTATAAGAACACATCATCACTCACAAATGCTCCGGCATCCTGGTGATGGAATCCCCCTGGAGGAGAGATGAAAGAGATTGGACGTTTCACTTTAGCAGTCACTGGCAGTTGTTGTGCCACATCATTTTTCCAATGCACCTCGAGCAGCGCTCGCTCAAAATGCATCCGTCAGCAGGCCAATTACGCCGAATTTCACCACCTTGCTCATTAACATTCTCGACGGGCAGTCCAGAATGTCAACAGTGAACTTGTTTCTTGCCATGAGAATCAATAAATATATTTTCACAGAATACAATAGAGTACATGAATATCTAGTTATCACGTGTATGTGTACGGACTAATGTAATTTGATAATTTTACTTAGATGATAATACTGAACACTGCCAGAGAGGCTTAAATAATGCTCTTTAAAGAGAAACCGTTCCGAAAACACCAACCTTAACGAAACAATCTTGCTGTTTCATTGTGTACAGACTACTTTGGTCAAACTCAGCCAGTTAGTTTTTGATAACGGGATAAAATGCTTGTTTGTAAAATTTCTGTAAAAGGTTTGGGTAAATAAATGCTCCGTCACCAAATGGATTCGCAGTATCACTCTTTATATATGCACAAGAAAATATTTGGGTAATTTAGTTTGTGGTTTATCGTGGTGCATTTAAGGGACACCACTGCAAGCCACAAGCACAAAAAGAAAAACAGAATCCTCCAGACACTGACTTGCGGTCTTGGATCTCGTCACATTCTAAGTGTGAGTACACACGTGTTTGTGCAAACTTGAGCGCACTTGTTACTTGTTTTGACCTGATCTTCAATCCAACCTCTCTCACCCCGGACTGGTCTTTGACACTTAGATGACTTGGTCTCACGTTATTTCACCCCTTCTCCATCCCTCACACTCCACCGAGGGTCACATCGCCGATGCGCACCGCAGCCCGACGCACATGCAAGGACTGCTCCAGTGGATTAGGAAGATTCCAAACAGATAGCTGTGCCTCGTCCAGTTCTGCCCCCTGTCCCTGTCTTTCTCCATGGGATTATCTTGCCAGAGGAATCTGGATGGCCTGTCTCCCCAAATAGACGTGGGGGACATCTGATAGACAGCTGTGGAGGCCGCTTGGGCTTGTCCAGGGATTTACCGACAATAACTCATAAGATGCTTGGAAACCTTTGTGGTGAAGCCAACTTTGCAATGCAGTACAAAGAAAATAATAATAATCCGCCCCAAAATTCAGTGCACGGACAGATCATGTCAGTCTGCAGATTTTGCTCAGCAAATTGTTTGTCAAACATATAATTGATCAAATATATTCATGTAGAGTGACAGATTTACTTGATTGACACAACTAATAATATTGTGACGGCATAGCTTGTTGGTAAATGTTAAATGGATTTAGAATATCTGGTTGACATCTCGGTCGGTAACAATGGAAAACATTGCATGCAACTTTATCGATATTATTGGTAGCAGTCGTAGTAGTAAAAAACAACTTAGTGGTACTGCTACACAATCTCGTTATTGTATACGGATCACATCGTGTACATGGAACTTACCAGTGACAGAAGAGGCAAAGAAGATGTGATCACTAAACGATGGACACAATCAGAGATGCGAAGAGCAATTTGGGTTCCCCTCTATTTAACAGCACCTCCCATCATCTCATCCTCTCTCGTTCTCTTTTGTTAGTGGAGGCTATTATTAGTCACCCCTATTTTTCTCACTGCCTAATCTTCATCGAACCCCCCGCCCCCCGCCTCCCACCCTCCCCGCTTCCCCTCAGGCCCGCACTTTTCTCAGGGTTAAGATCTGGTTCTGACATCCCACAGTCATGCTGCCAGCTCATGATTTTTACTGATGAGATTGTTAAAAAGGGACTTCAAACTTTGTGGAGAAGGTTTGGCCGAAAATGTGAGGTGGGTCCTCATTGCGACTGTCCCTCACACACCAGCCGAACCAATTGGGCCTTTTATTTTATGGAGCGTTGCGTTCCGATGGTCTAAAACCGCATTTCTCAAAGTGAGAAAGAATTCTCATATATTGCTGTAAGAGGTGCCAAATGCTAGGCTAACTTTGTAGTAAACAGTCAACTCACTGTCACTGGTGATCAGATGCCATCAGACACTGTGGCGTTTTCACCGCACTGACAGAAAATATGAAAATGGCGCGGAGAAATCAATGTACGGTATTCAGGTTAGGTACGCTTAGCGCATGGCAATGCAGGACTGCCGTCGGTGGCTTCAATTCTCAATTACGGACTAACAACGTCGCTTACTCGTCTACAGAGAGAAAAAAAAAAACATTGTCACAAAAAGTTCATGCCACAAAAACACAGATTCAACCGCTTATCCTTTACCTTCACAAAAGTAAAAATGTCAAACAAAATGGAGGAGACCACAACATTCAACAATCTCTTGCAAACAACGGGTTGGGTGAACTCTTTCATTATTCAGAGCACATTACAGGAAGGTTGGATTGGAAGCATACCATTTTAGCCTGGTTTTGAACACGCTTATTTTTGCGCTCTCGTATCAAACTCGTGGCTTCCACTTTCTGAGAACCACCCGCTTAAGCAAAAACACTGCACACCACACTGGTGAATGAAATGGCAAACCAATCGTACCTTTTTAAGTTTGCTTCCCCATCACTTCTCAGACATCCACTTTCATGCGACTCAACTAGGTAGACCTTTGCACACACATTTATAGTTCTAATTCTTCCAATGTGGAATATGTGGCTGGTGACTCAAATTGGATAAAATTAATAACTGCACATCACATGCACGTAACTGTATTGTGAGGTGGTGATGAGTGTATTCTATAAATACAACATTTGGTTACTAATTTGTGGATTTCATCTTTTGCAGGAGGTTGTGCAGAATACAACATCAACGATAAAAAAAGCTAACTGTACATCGCTAGCATAGCTAGAATAACAAAGATACTGCACATTATTTGTGGCAGATAGGTGACATTTGGTCCGTTGCGTCTTGAATCAAACACAGCATGAAGTTGTTGTGGTCCAAGGACGAATCCGGTGTGCCCCTGCCACTTCGTGGGAACTAAAAATATAAAAAGCACACACACAGAACTGGAAACATGGGGAGGATACCCTCTAGTGGTTGCAATAAGAATGACTGACTCCCAAAACAATTTGATTCCAGTTCACATTAATGTTTGATGCTCTAGCTTTGATCATCACTCATCAGGTGACAGTTTTCCATAGTATTGCTTACAAGTACGTGTGTTAGCTGCAAAATTCACCCCTTTGCGATGAGTAATGATATATATGTTTACATGGCTCACATATTGGCAGTGGTTACATTGAACAAAAATTGAGTCATTTTTTACCTGAGGCCCAAGTTATTTATCCAGAGAGAGAACGTGCATGATGTCTCTCTTGTCTTACCGTTTCTTCCCTGCTGACTCATGAGGTGTGGCAACAGCAGTTGGGGTTTTCCACAGTGTAATGAAAGACATCCAGGACACAATAAACCCTTTTCTCGCCCCCCCTCCCATTCTGACTTGGACTGGGCATTACAGCTAACACTCAGCCTGTTGTTTTGGTGACATGCAAAACATGCAACATGCAGCATGAACATCATCTGCTCGAGCTGGCTAATAAGAGCCAGCTGATGAGGAGACATTGCTGAGCTTCACGCGTTCAGGTTATTCAGCTCTCCGGGCTTCTCATTTGACCTTTACTGTCTTGAGTACAGCAGGGATTCATGTACTTTATCATTCATGTGGTTGGTTATGAAAATTGGAGCTCACTAATAGGATTAGTAATGTTTTATTTATACCGCATGACATTTTATGAAACAAAAATTGTACCAGGAATGAGAGCAAAAATTGTTATTCTTCATGACAATCCTCGGACAAGCGTGCTAATATTATCAGTCTGTATTGCGGTAGTTTATAAGTCAGTCAAACAGTATTTTTTTCCCATCAAAAGCAGAGACAAAATGTCTGGTAGAAGAGGTTTGCGAAATATCAAGACACACACACGGTGAAAGAATCCAAGTGTCAATGACTTCATAGCACATGGTTATCCACGTCGGAAATAACAGAAAAGGACCTCTGTCTGAAAACGTTCATGTAACGCATCAACTGCTTCTTCCCGTCGTTTGGAAAAGACCCGGGAGCCCTTCTTATTGCTTCACGCCAAGGGTGTCGAAATGCTGGAAAACAAAACAAAACAGAACACATGCTTGTCTATCATTGTAAATATGACATGTAACAGCAGTTACACAACACTGTTGCCATGGCGACTAAGTTAATTTGGGAACTGGGCAACTGGGCTCACTTGAGGAAGCGTCGCTGCAGATTCCTGGCCTCTGAGCACATAGTTCAGACTTAATTCATGCACGTCATGGACATGTGAGCGTTTTGAGTACGTAACAAGGGCGTTGTCTTGGTTCACCTTGGAATTTGAATAGTTTCATCAACCGGTGTATATATTGGACTGTATATCTACAATTGTCTGTCCTGGGAAGTTGTAATGTAGTTTGGCTCTGGCAACTCCAAGCAACAGACGTGCTTTAAGTGTCAAGAGTGAAGTAAACCTGGCTAACCATCTTTAGAGTCATACTTAGAGCTAAAACTATTTCAAGCACGCTTCTGTAATTTTTTTTCAATGCAATCCACCCAGATTCAAGGTTAGACCCACAGCAACGCACTTAACAATGAAAGTGCTTTTGTTCGGCAATCTCCATCGTTGGACGCCATTTACAGAATGCTGAGTGCCAGTCAGCCATAGTACTGCATTGTTGATTGTCCCATTAACTGCTCTTTGCCATTGTTAGAGTTATTCGGCGAAATGTCTCAGCGCTGTGTGGCGATGCACTGTTCACATTCAGGCCGACACTTAGTTTGAGTGGCCAAAGGAATAGGAGACGTAAATGGACCAGAAAATTGGAACGATACAGTTTCGTTCTCGCAAAGTGAATGAATTTCACGCCGGTGTCAACGGGCGTTCTTGTTACAAGCATTGAAGACCTCTGTTTTCTCAACTGAATTTGCAAAAAAGGTGGTGAGAATCAATGAATAACTCTGGCTGTTGGTTATGAAAACATTTGATTCCAATATTTCAAACTATATCAGTGCATGGATGAAATCATCTTTGATGGTTTGCAACTAACAATGCTGCCGATATAATGTTTCGGAGTGGCCAACAACTCAACATAAGCACCTTAGCAATGACAATGTAGGACACTAACACACTATAACGCATGCTCTCAGTGCTAGCAGGAATACATGGACCAAGTAGGTAATCCCACCGTGCGCAATTTACAGCACGGCACAGCATCAAATTGCAAACAATAACGCTAGGTTAGTAACCGCAGTCGAAGTAGCTTAAGTTTCTTCCAAACTCGATGGGTCTCCACTCCATGTCCAGGTATTCAGGCACATTTTCCGCATCCTGACTATCTGTATGGTCCAAAATACATCTTGCCAACAACCTCCTCTTTTTTCAACTCTTCAAACAGCGGGATCCCCTCAGATAAGTTTAAAACAACTCTTTCAAAATCAATTTCTGACCGTCTTTGTGCACTTTCTTGAGAGAGCAGTTATTGTGGTCTTAAAGTGACGTTACACTTCCGGGTTTGTCGCTCGACAAGATTGCACTCCGGGAAAATGATTACGTTGTCAAATTTAAGAAATAGAAATGATCTTTTCATGCTTTATGTATTTTATTTTGTTTAATTACTTGTGACATAAAAATTTTTCATTTGGGACTTTCTAAAACTACGTCACAGTTGACCTTTAGATGAGGTTAAAATTAATGACAGTCTCGCACACTTCCCGACAAAATGTTAATGTGTCAAAACAATGTGCTCAGCGACCAAGTGTGTGTGACTAAAAATACTTGGCTGCCAACTGAGGGAGAGGTTGTCCCACGTTGTTGCGCAGGCTCAATTTGCGACTTAATAATGGCTTTGAGTGCGACTTTTGCTTTTATGTGTGTGCTGGCAAGACTGCGTCATCGTCGCGGCTCCCGACAGGGAGAGGCCACGTTTCAAAAACATCAGTCTTTTGCACTAACTCATCCTCAACGATGACATGAATGTTTTCATTCCATTCTTTTAAGTGAGAATTGGCACCTGATACAACAAGGAGATAAGCCTGTTAATAGGCCGAACGTCTTTGAGGACGTGTATTCATCCAATGTGTACAGACTCCACAGTGCTTTGGGTGACTGTTGTCAATTTGACATGCTCGAAGGCACGCTCACCTCACCAAGTGTATTCATGCTTATCGTTCACATTTTTTCTCAAGTTACTCTGAGCGTCTACAAAATTAGATCCACCAAATCTAATGACGCAATACAAGAGCTTGTACGCCAACACAACGTTTGGTTTCTTATCGATGTTGGATCATATCCTGAAACATTTCTAGTATTTTGCCCTCCTACCCACAAAGACCTGTGAGAGATCATCAGATGTGCTGCAGAAAGTGTCCACTCCACTGGTCTGAAAGTCATTTGTCATCAATAATATATCTTTCTTCATCTACAGTATTAATGCCGGTGTTGTATGGTGACTGTCAGAATAATCAAAAGTGCATTGACTTGATGGCAAATCTTTGTCCACTTGTTGCCGGTCATGCAACACAATAATGCCTTTATGTTCAACGAAATAGGCCAGAATTTGATACTGAGTGAGTACATTTGTCAGTAAATATTTTAGTATACTGTACTGTGTACTAGTGGGAGATGGTGCCAATCAGCCCTGTCGCAAATAGCAAAAATCTGTGAATTGACATGCCACAAAATGAGACAATGTACTACATTAAGTGCTTTAACTCACTTCAACATAGTTTCAAGGCACCAACACACCATAAGATGGCACCAAAACGTGTAGGTGGTACATTTTTTTCAGCCAATAATAGAGGATAGGAATTATGAAGTTTTTTTAAATTCCAAACCATGACAAACATTTTTGGGGCATTCACACTACACTTTTTGTAACACTTACTTATTTTTATTTTTTTGGGTGGTGTTTCATATAAAATAGGCTTGTTACTTTTTCCCTCAACCATGGGTGACGTGAATAGAGATTGTTGGTCAACCACAGTTCAGATTTTGATTGACCGATTAATTGATTGAAATTCAGGGGACTTAAAAAGCAGGGAAAGCAGCAATTTGGAAGAATGTGTTTTGTGAGTGAGGTCACAACATTATCAAAGAGTATTTTAGCCTATACCTGTACAAATCCCTGTATAAGAATTTAACTTCATTTTTAGTGTCTCTTTTGGTTGAACGGCTTACAACTACATTTCAGAGTCTGTGCTTTTTAAACCTTTACTTAAAGGGGTTGAATCAATACTTGTGCGTTTACCTGTATTTTTCTTTCACACAAGTACGTATTCTTCCACTTAAATTGTCACTTCTCGTCATCCTCCTCGGTGCCGCTCAGATGAGCGGTGGAAATGAGTCTCTTCCTCCCAGTCTGCACGGCTTGGAGGTTCTTGTAACGGACCAGAGCCAAGGCGATCTCCGCGTTCCACGCCGTACCGTCCTGCGGACAGCGGAAGTCGATCTCCTTGCCGGTGTTCATGACCACGGTGAAGTACACCAGTCCTCGCTTGTACTCCACGCAGTCCACCGTCACCATGTGTTCGAAGAGCAGCTCTTTGGCTCTGGAGCCCGAGCTCCACGCCGCGCAGGGTGCGTGACCTGCGGCCGACTGACCCATGCAGCCGCGCAACCGGAGCCCCTCGTCGGTCAGCACGCAGCGCTTCTTCTTCCAAATTTGCAGGAGACCACCGCTGCGCTTCTCCAGCAGTCCGTCTCGCGTCACTTTGGCTGGAGGAGACATCGCCGGAGCGCTCTGACACCAGAAAGACGGTCAAATCCACATCTCGCGTGGTGGGATTACATCGCCACTGCGACTGCTGCTACTGCCGCCGCTGCCGCTGCTGCTTAACGTGTAGTCTGTGGATATGTTGGAACATGCCCGGCGTGGAAAAGCGGAACACCCCCGCCCACCTCAGCGCACCTGTTCACGGACTGCACACGGACACACCCTCGCTCCTTTTTCCGGACCATCTAACGTGTTTGCCGCCGCCGCTGATTAACATCAAAGAGTTGGTACGTCACGTGCTGTGATCGTGACTGACACTCAACGCAATTGATCGAGGAGAAGTTTAAAATTGTTTTGACGAACTGAAATCGTTGTGTGCGATAAAAATGCAAAGAACACAGAAATCAGAAAGGTGGCAAATACTTTTTCACGGTACTGTACGTTCGAACATATTTGTAGGCTGAAACCTATAAACGTAACGTTTTCCCATAACGCAACGTGGTATTGACCAGCCCATGCATTACGGAAAAAATGCTGTGAACCTAAATCGTGCAATGCAGACGTAATAAAACAGTTACGAATGAACAATGTTTAGTTATTTACTTTTTGAACGGACTGGTATAATGGACGCCAAATGCTACCAATTTTTGTTTTTTTACTCGCCCAAGTCAATAATACCCTGTGGCTTTATGGGAAACTGCTTCTGTTCTAGCCGTGAGGCTACAAGTACATTTGAACGTATTTGTGAGTGCGTTTATATTCGCTCTTTTAAAATAGTAACAAAAAAATCAGCTGATTTTATTTACTTATCTTTGTACATACATTCAATGACGCTCAACTACCCCGCCCCCTGCCCCCAAAACACACACACACACACACACACACACACACACACACACACACACACACGCACGCACACATTACGAGTGGAATTGGTCCATTTTTACCGATTTTTCTGTCTGTTGTAAAGTTAAACAAATACTAAAGGACATATTGTAAAACAGTCAAATGTCTGAACTTCATATCTTTATTGGTGTAAGTCACAAGTGTCAAACTACCCTCAAGGGTCACTGTGCGGGATGTTTGAGATGTTTCCTTCCTCCAACAAACCTGATTCAAATGATCAGTTCATCAGGTTAGCCAGTTTTTGCATTATTCTTCTCACTAACTCTCACCACAACAAATGTTATTCATCAAAAACAAAAAACCCACTGGTAGACCCCCCGAGCATTGTCGAGAGGGATGAATTCTAATTCCGCCCTATGATGGCACTTTTGCCTTGTGCCACCTGCTCAACAAAAACAGAAGGAAACACGAGTTTTCCATAGAAGCTTACAAGACAAAAAAAATAAGAATCACCTCTTTAGTGGAGGAAATGTTCCATGATGGAATAGGAATAGTGGCAGATAGGGAACTTCCTCGCATGTCTCACATCCTTGACATGCCTTTCGGGCCGGTTCCACAATGCGCTTCATGGGTGGATGATACTCATGACTTTCGATGACTTAATTCGGTCATGCCAGCAACGTGTTAGAGCTATGTTATGAAAGGAATGTTTACTATGAATAGGTGTCATGTCTGGCAACTTGAATCTATGTCACTCTTTCACTTTTAATTCTCCTGTGCAGCATAATACTTGATGTTTGATACCAACGGTTTCCCTTCTGATTAATACTGAATAGAGCTGGTATCGCCGAAACTGATCCGTTTCCAATACTGGGCGCAAATACTCCACCTCGTGTGTTTGGCAAATCTGAAAAAAGAAATAATGTATTCATTCACACCTCCATAAAAAAATCTGAGACCTCAGAGTAATTGTGTATATACAGTATTTATTTCATACAATGACACAACCCAGCCGCTGGGGGGCAGTGCCCTCCCTTGGGGGTGCACTGTTCCCCAGTGCCGGTCCCAAGCCCGGAGAAATGGGGAGGGTTGCGTCAGGAATGGCATCCGGCGTAAAACTTTTGCCAAGACGACCATGCGAGTTGGTAGGACGGTTTACAGGGGCGGATGGAAATTACTGACTCGCTGTGGCGACCCCTGGATAGGGACGTGCCGAAAGGAGAAGGAGAAGAAGAAGATTTCATACAATGACATAGTAGTCAGACACTTTGTTTTACAATGCTAGGCGAATCAAATTGAATTTGACAGGACAAATGGAATCAAACAAATGAAAGTTTTCCAATACATGTTACAGTAATTGAAAAGGGAAAACAAATGAGATTGGTATCAAATGATAATTACTCTATTTTATAGGTAAAATGTTATTTTTCATCTGTACCTTTCCTAGTATAGATTTTTTTTCCCTAAGTTCACGGTGACTGTTCTATCGCAATGACTGTATGTATATAATTTTACAACACCTAGTCTATCGTCACTGTCCTGTGAAAAACACATAGGTCCATTTTTCTAATTTAAAAAAAGAAAAATCACATTGACGACACCCCATTAGTGTAAAGATAAAAAAAATACTGAATAAATGAAAAAAGACAATCATGGATATACACCTTTTCTCAGGACAGCAATGCTGTCATCCACTTCAAATGGTCAACAAAAACTTGGCCTGAATTTATGTTGTTTTGTCTGTGAGATTATTTTAGTGAAACACACATTGTCACTCCAAGACGGAAAAAAAAAAATCATGCAGCTACTGTATTTGAAGCACGTATTTTTTTTTCATGACTTCATAACCACATTTATTATTTGAACAACTCAAATAGCGGGGGCTACATTGTCTCCATCTGTACCTGGGTAGTTAGTGCCTGCCTGCTTTCACAAGGAACCCCACACACTGCTGTCCACTTCTGCATGCCTCTTTGAAAATGCCTCGCGGTGTATTCTGTGTCCTGGTTTAACCTGGTAGTTTGTTGTGTTGCCACAACTCCTTCCTGTTTTTTCAATCTTCGCCTTGGCTCTTTGGAGCTGAATTAGCTGCATACACATATGACTTCTTGCACTTCTCAATAATGCCACTATACGGCTTCCGACTGAGACTAAATTACTCAATAGTTCAGTGACTTTCCACGGTGTCCCGGTTAATGATATTGCTCATTAATAATCACATGACTGAATTTAAAAAGTGTTTTGAGTTGAGAATCCATTTTAGAGCATAAAGATCTAGTATCTCCGGTATCAGTGTTTCAGTATGTTTTCTTTATACACGTTTGCACCATCGACTCACTAAAATGGAATCTATTATATAGTATGACAATAAAAATCGATTATTATATTGTATTGTGGGGCGGCCCGGTGACCAGTGGTTAGCACGTCAACCTCACAGTGCAGAGGTCGTGGGTTCGATACCGGCTCTGGCCTTCCTGTGTGGAGTTTGCACGTTCTCCCCGGGCCTGCGTGGTTTTCCTCCGGGTACTCCGGTTTCCTCCCACATTCCAAAAACATGCATGGCAGGCTGACTGAACACTCTAAATTGTCCCTAGGTGTGAGTGTGAGCGTGGATGGTTGTTTGTCTATGTGTGCCCTGGTTCAGGGTGTTCCCCCGCCTCCTGTCTGAAGACGGCTATGATAGGCTCCGTGACCCTTGTGAGGATAAAGCGGATCGGAAAATGGATGGATGGATATTGTATTGTTACGGCTGCAGTTGTTGGTCACCTGTACTATATTGATATATACACCTACAGTTAAAATCCATTGGTACTGCTTGTCACAATCTCCAGTGACAGGCAATTGTTTATATATAAAAAAAAAATGCATTCATGAGAAATGTCTTTTTTTATTCGGGAAAAAAAGAGAGGTACTTTTTAATCCTTAGCTTTATTCACCTTTAGCAATAATTGTCCAAATGTCACACATGAAGTATATTGTGCAATCGGTTTTGATATTGCAAAAAAGATGATCTTCACGGGGATAGCATTTCTTGCCATCTCGTGGGGAAATGTGTGCTCGTATTACAATCAATTTCCTTGAATCCTTGAATTATATATGACAACCAAACAGCATGATGTGGCCTTTCACCAAATCCAGATCCATTCAACCCAATATTTGGTACACCTGCAGCATCAAGCAAGATTCGATGCAAGACCTACAAAATTTGGCTCTTTGTTTTTCTCTCAGAGATGTATCCACTTGACAGTGTCTTTAGCATTATGAAAAAATGCATGACCCCATACTGAAACAGCTGCACAGAGGTCTCGTTTTAATAGAGTTCTTGCATACAATCACATTAGATTGGTTAGTGCAGGTGGACCGAATGTTGTGGCTGGTTGGGTGTATGTGTCAAGTGGCTGTAAAATCACTCTGATGCCATTTTTCTTCCGCTGGTTCCACCTACTGAGTGAGTGGCAGGGCTCCGGCCCCACCTCCATATCCATAACCCTTTGGGCCAAAGTCTTTTGCGTAACAACCTGTAGGGCAAAACGATGGTGTCAGAAATACATCCATAATCCCTGTTTGTGCCTCTCATTTACGGCTTGCTTTACAAATACGTCGTCGTTTTCTTCGGTTTGGATTATGAACAGTGAGTCTATATGCTGTATTTGTAATACCTACCTACCTACATATCGAAAAGCTAAGCATGTTGTTTGAACAGTAAAACCTCACGTACCCTTTTCTGCAACCGTAGGAGAAATGAGGACATTTGGCTTTTCAAATTAGGTTTAGTTCAAAGGTCACAGATGCTGCTTGGCTAATACAAACAACAAAAACCTGCCTTTAAATACTATTGACCAATTGCATGTTTGTATATTCACTTGGTGCCAGTAGTAAGTGGATCATGTTCGTTTTGGGGGGTTAATATTGCTTTTTAAATTTTACCAAAACATCTTTTCAGCAGTGTTCGTGCGCCATTGATAGTGCAGTGGTTCACAAAGCTAACTAACTTTCATTTGATGTCCCTTACTCAGTCGCCCTGTTATTGACGTGTGTGAGTAGTACGGCGCCCTCTGCTGTCGTCTTGTGTTCATGACAGCTCTGCTTGTCAATCACTTTGAACGGGCGTGCAATTTGAGAGTTTAAATACTCTGAGATACAAAAACGATTTGACCGTGTCATACGTAGTTGTTTGGATGACAGAATATGATCTTTGTTATACCTTTGCAGTAGATTTCTCCATCCTTATCGGCAACTGTGGTTGACTCGAGGCCCTTACCGCACGTGGCGCAACGGAAACAGCCAGTCTTGTGCCATGACTGCAATTAAATAGAACGTGAATTATTGCCATTTATCGTTTTGCATGCCTGCCTACGTGTATTCTTTCTTACGCTGCCTGCGCCGATCACTTTCTCTGCAGCATAGACAGCCTTGCCGCAACGAGGGCACTTCTCACACCCGCCAAACTTGCGAGCCAACTTCGAAGGGTTAGGGTTGGTGGTAGGGCGATGAGGAGCAGGTCTAAACGGGGAATAAGGTGCAATGTGACTGAAAATCTTGAAAACAGATGAGAATTATGCTTTTTTTTAAATTGGTAGTACTCACTCTTCATGGGTGATACCCTGACCCTGGCCCTTGTCCATGTTCAGAGTCCCTGCTCCAACACCAAAACCGTAACCCTTTGGCCCGTAATTCTTCCTGTAGCATGACTTGCAGTAGATTTCATCCAGATGAACAGCAACCGTTGTACTGTCTAAACACTTCCCACACGCCACTGAACAGATGCAACATAAAAATCATACACCCCGTATTCTTTTGCCAGTCATCATCTTTCAGCTTTTTGCTGTGGATTTTGCAAGTCCTTTCATGGAGCAGTCATTTGTTTTCATGTGAATTCCATTGAAGGAATGTGTCATTGCGACAAGGAAACACAAATAACATCATCACAATTCTGTCTGGGTGAACCTCACCCAACAAATTCTTTCACTTGCAACTGGGGATTCAGCCTTTGGTACGATATGAGTGAACCAGACTAGAGGGGGCCCAGTGAAGGTGTTTTCATGCAACTGCCGTGGTGTCATGACTGACGACCAGCTCAAGGTCTTGTCTGGGTTTTGTCTAATGGGATAGGCTTCATCTTGCTTGTGACCCTAAACGGGACAAGTGGGATAGAAAGTAGTTTGGTGGAATTGACATGGCTGTGGTTGCCAAGAATGCCCGGTGAGATTTAGAACGTGCTAGAGCATTTGTCATGGCAGTCCCAGCGTGAACACGAAACCAAGTCAGCATTACTAAAACAAGGCGAACATAACTCCACCTGACAGTACATCAGCACTGTTCTGGACAAACGTGCTCTCCTGGCAACATAGCCTAAGTGTTGACTTGACCGATTATCATTTTTACGCCAATGGTCACATCCTATATCATGTTTCCACTTTAGCATGCAAATGGCAAGTCATCATTTTACAAGCTGTGTCCATGCAACCGTGTACATGTCCTCAAATATTCCTTCCCACGTCAGGAGGGGTAAGCAGTCGGTTAGTTAGATAGTAAAGAGTTAACTCACAGCACAAAAAGCAGGACTTGTGGAATCTCCGACTGTCGCAGAGTACCTCCTCTGCAAAGTAAACAGTCTTCTTACAACGGCCACACTGGTTTCCTCCTCCTAAATTCATCCTTCGCCAAAGAATACATGCACGGACACAGAAACATCTTATAATTAGTGTTATTTAAATGAGTACAGATTACTTAGGAAACTGTGCACAAATGCCGGTAGACTGTGTGGATAATAAGTACAAAAACAAATGCGGGACTTTCTTCAGGTTAAGAAAGAAACTTACTTTAATAAGTGGAATTATTTTTCTGTGTTTTCTGCTTTGTCTGGCTGAGTCCAGATGCCGTCATTTTACTGCTGCCAATCGACAAGGCAAAAGAGTTCCACTAAGGACTGCAATCAAGTTGCTTGCGGTTGTGTGGAAAAAACATTTTGGAATAGTTTGATGTGATGTGAAGTATGCTGGCATCCTGCCTGTATTTTGCTCTCAAGCCACAATGACTTCAACAGTCAATTCTCATCTTTCCAATCCCACATTCCTCGCAATGAAAGATAACCAGCCTCATCAACTCACTGTTTTGCCCTGCATCACTTCCATTCTGTCTGATGTCATTATGGCTGATGCCAATGTTTTGCCGCACAGGAAATATGTTGTATGAATTTTTTGGTGAGGTCTTGGGGAGGGGGGGGGTGGTATTCTACTTCAGGACTGGCACAACTTGGAGGCTGTCTTGTATTCCTGCTGTTTGGGACTGTATCTTATATATGTAACCTCTAAATATGAATGTAATATTAAACATACTCCTGTGTTTGCGTTGAATAAAAATATACAACAATACAAGCTTGGCATCAATAGTATTGTATGTTGTTGGCTTCATTTCAAAGTCACTTCTTGTGACTCAATGTGATTGGAAATTTGTAAATATTAAAGGCCAAACCAAACACTTCCTGTACCATTTTGGTCTTTGATGTATTTTAACTGGAAACAAAATGAATTGGAACAAAATGCGAAAGGTTTCCTGTAAAAAGTTCTTTCCTATGACAGAAATACACTTGGTTCTTTTAGCATCTGATGTTTTTCCTACTTCCCTCCTCCACGAAACGTCCTAAAAACTGGCCTGCTAATTTTTGTTTGACTGCTCAAAGTGAACGTGGGGGAATGACTGTTCAAAGCCCTTCCTGGAGGTATTGAAACACGTCATCGGAGACGTGACTGACATTGTTTTTCTCGAAATGGGCTGGGAGATGAGAAACAAGTAGGAGCATGAGCGTTTCATGGGAGTCGAAAACAGGTAGAAATGTAAAGTCAGCACAAAGATGAGCCGTCCTCTCTCCCACACATGCGATAGTTGTGGTAGCCTCTGACGGAAGTGGGTTCTTTACTTCAGCACTCCTGTGTTTTTGCTTTTTAACTGCGCGCTTTTTAAGGCGGTCGAGCACCGACAACGTCTCTTCCGTCTTTGCATACTCAAAACCCGGTAGTTTTGCCTGGCGGCTGGCCCGACTCCAACCGCAGAGGGCGTTTACCCATCATGCATTGGCAAGCAAATAGAATGACAGGAGGAGGCTTTTGGATTTCAAGTGTTACGTACCTTAAGTTTCTGTCAGTCAGCAGTGGTGAAGGACAGGTGAAAGTCTGACACGCGATAAGGAGCTCTGCTGCTGCACTTCCTCTGATGAGAGGGAGGTGCCTGCCTTCTGTTGCCGCTTCAAAGCCAGTCACCCGAGTGCAGGAAAAATGAATTTCTGACTCGGTCGCTGAGGGAGGAGCACGGCAATGAGGAGGAAACCTGTGTCGGGTTTTTTTCCCTCCGTGTGAAGATAGAAAATTGTTATTGGGTTGGTTTTTTTTTTTGCTCAAAATGCCTAGATGCCACAACGACACGGGGTAGACCAAAAAAAAAATTTCTTTCTCTTTGTAGGTTTGCTTGTGAAAACTGTATTGGAAGGATTTTGCACAGGGACGGTATACCCTACTAAAAACTGCATGTATACTGTCCTTTATGAAATGTGGCAGTTAGTTCTATTTCCTCTTTCGATAAGATGACCTTTAACACATAATTAATTTCGACAAACTGTAAGACTCTTGAAAGCAACAGATCAATTCCAACCTCGGTGTTTTATTACACAATTTCAAAAGGTCTTTGCCGTAAAAGGTCAGTCAGACTGAATGTAAAACTGTTTGCTGGAGTAATTGGTAGTGGAGGGAGTTTGCTACCCTCGAGTGGTCATTTGTGGTAATACATGTAGATTCAAGACAACTTGTGCACACACAATTGGGCCTAATTTATGCATTCTACCTCACTTTCACTCAAAGTCAGCAGAGGTCCAAAGATCGGATGTCTCTGAAAGATAATCCTGAGCGATTAGCCCCACACATGCGATAGTTGTGGTAGCCTCTGACGGAAGTGGGTTCTTTACTTCAGCACTCCTGTGTTTTTGCTTTTTAACTGCGCGCTTTTTAAGGCGGTCGAGCACCGACAACGTCTCTTCCGTCTTTGCATACTCAAAACCCGGTAGTTTTGCCTGGCGGCTGGCCCGACTCCAACCGCAGAGGGCGTTTACCCATCATGCATTGGCAAGCAAATAGAATGACAGGAGGAGGCTTTTGGATTTCAAGTGTTACGTACCTTAAGTTTCTGTCAGTCAGCAGTGGTGAAGGACAGGTGAAAGTCTGACACGCGATAAGGAGCTCTGCTGCTGCACTTCCTCTGATGAGAGGGAGGTGCCTGCCTTCTGTTGCCGCTTCAAAGCCAGTCACCCGAGTGCAGGAAAAATGAATTTCTGACTCGGTCGCTGAGGGAGGAGCACGGCAATGAGGAGGAAACCTGTGTCGGGTTTTTTTCCCTCCGTGTGAAGATAGAAAATTGTTATTGGGTTGGTTTTTTTTTTTGCTCAAAATGCCTAGATGCCACAACGACACGGGGTAGACCAAAAAAAAAATTTCTTTCTCTTTGTAGGTTTGCTTGTGAAAACTGTATTGGAAGGATTTTGCACAGGGACGGTATACCCTACTAAAAACTGCATGTATACTGTCCTTTATGAAATGTGGCAGTTAGTTCTATTTCCTCTTTCGATAAGATGACCTTTAACACATAATTAATTTCGACAAACTGTAAGACTCTTGAAAGCAACAGATCAATTCCAACCTCGGTGTTTTATTACACAATTTCAAAAGGTCTTTGCCGTAAAAGGTCAGTCAGACTGAATGTAAAACTGTTTGCTGGAGTAATTGGTAGTGGAGGGAGTTTGCTACCCTCGAGTGGTCATTTGTGGTAATACATGTAGATTCAAGACAACTTGTGCACACACAATTGGGCCTAATTTATGCATTCTACCTCACTTTCACTCAAAGTCAGCAGAGGTCCAAAGATCGGATGTCTCTGAAAGATAATCCTGAGCGATTAGCTTGTCAAGAGTGATTTTTCCCATTAGAAAAAAAAAATCACTGGATTGTCAATCGTAAATGTTAAACCCGTTATAGTATTTCCTTTGGCAAATCCTTCCTTACCTGTATGTGCTACGAAGCGTTGCTTTGCACATATGGAGAAGCAACTCATTGTGTTGAGTGTCCGTGGAACAGATCTCCCTGCTCACAAGTCATTCACCACAAAAATGACATAATCACCCCAAAGGTCTGGATTAACACATATCAAATTTATCAGTCGAAAAGGAGAAATAAGAAGGAATACATTAATAAATAATTTGTTTACATACATATTGTACAATTATTATGTATTTACAGAGACCATAGAATCAGTCTACCCGCTTTTAACATGAACAGACATTGAAAGTGAACGCAAACCTTTTTAGTGCTCGGCACCAGTTAAAAATTAATATTCTTAAACCTCTTCAAAATCTGAAGACCAAATTCATTCTACAGTTCATTACTTCTAAAATGGGTTGATATGTCATATTTTCAAATACAGTACAGTAAAATTGAATTACACCAGAAACAAGTTTTGGTAAGGTTATGGTTCACTGGGGCCGTTGAATGTCCCACATAAAATATTGTCTGCTGTAAATCAGTCGTCATAGGTTCCAGCCTGGCGCCGTATCTCTGAAAATCAAATATCACACGGGAAATGGACCGATGGCGTTTTCACGCATGTCGTCACTTCTGGTTTCCACCCTTCTCTGTACACGTTAATTTAGGTGCAGCCAAAGCCACTCCAACTGCTGGATATACATGCGCGCAGATCCAGTCGGAATTTGCTGTACTCTGTGTAGTGCCTCGGCAGCCTCAGCTTCTCAAAACATGTTACAGCTGTGGGAAGCACACCTTCTACTATTTCCACCTTCATTTCTGCAGCTGGCACCTCCCATCCGATCCAGAACCTAATGAGACTCTTTAACTCATCTGAAGATTCTGCATTCAAAATAAATAACAATCTTTTCAAACCACTTGGAAGGTCGCTTCAGATGTTCACTTGCTGGAGCGATACACACCGGTTTCAATGAAGTTTTTCAAAAAGCTGGACACTCTCGATGTGTCCTCAAGATCACGCTCATCAAAGTGGACCGCCTCATATTCCTCAAAGATGACGGTTGTGGAACAAGGCCATGTGATGCAATCCAAGAGCATCTGGAATGAGTTACTAATTTGTTCTCAGGGCATGCTCATCTTCGTATTTGGCTGGGTTGCACCCCATCCCATTCCGATGCTTCATGTGCACAAAAATGAAACATCTTTCCTTCCCAACCTGAGATGTGACTTGGGTCTCTGCCTCCCTGGGAAACAGGATAGGGATGATCTCGCGTCGGTGAATTAGAAGCGGCCACAGTCCTGTGTCTTGCAGGCCTCTTTGGAACTGATTGATTTGATCTCTTGTTCGCTCAATCACCTGCAGTTCAAAGACATGACATCATGTTCACAGCAAGGTAGCTGTACAGCCCAGAGAAAGCAAGTGAATTGTGGTGGAAATTGCTGACGTGTGAAATACTTCTCAAATACCCAATTTTGTATTTTTTATGTATATATATCTGTGTGTGTGTGTGGATATAAAAAATGGTAATACAGATTTGTATTTACTAGTCTTTGAGCACGGTTGGGGGGAAGGAAGGGGAACAGTGCCCTGCCCACAATGTTTATGGTGCAAGATTTCTGCAGTCGGTGCGTACAGAATGTCGGGTTTGGTGGCCTGAGACTCTCTTCTCTGCAACACAGTATGAAGATGGTGTGGTTTAAGTGGTCACATCAAGCTCTGAGATTTAACATGTGCTGTTGTTTGCAATGTGAGGCAGCCGGCATAAAAAGTTTGAGGCTGTATGTCTTCCAGGTTGACAATTAAGTCCATACCTCATGTGCAGGAGTTCAATATGCTTATACTCCTACTAGTAGTAATGATAGTAATAATAATAACAAGCTTAGATTTATTTTGCACTTGTCAAAGGACTTAAGGACCCTAATTCATCATCAACGTGAACACAGAGGCGCAAGTCTACTTAATGTGTGTTCGACTATCGTCGGAAATGAGAAACCAAAGTGGCACATTTATTTCACCGCATGGAAAAGAAGCTTGTCAGAGAGCCACTTCCTGTTGGCATCATTAGGTGTGGGGAGATTCCATTGCACGCAGAGCTGATTGATGGTGTCGAGGTTGTTTATTTCGTCATCTTCACTGAGCTAGAAAAAAACAAAACGACCAGCATGTGTTTTTTACAAGCGTGTGTATGCACGATAATTTTAATTGATCATGATTGTTATTGTTCTGGATATCGAGTTAAAATGATCGCACTAGCTCTAAGGTCTAAAAACAAATCAAGCAATAACTCAAGGAAGGCCACTAGTTCATGTCACGGTGCATCTCACCATTGTCACTATGTCACGAACATCAAGATCTGGGCAATCCTGCACTGTTATCGGAGTTGTCTCCAAAGAACCCCCAAAGAGGGTGTGAATAATGGCTTGGCTAAGTCCTGGAAAACTTGGCCCGTGATGCAAAAACGAGTGGCCAATAATACGCCCTGCCATAGCGAACATGTTGTTGTCCAGAAGTCCATCTGATATGGAGGGGATGAGATGATCAGGCTCACCTTCAAAGAGCTTGGTAATGGCTGCACTTCCTGCAAAAGCGGAGGGAAAAAAATGCTGCAGTTTAGCACTGCAGTAAAAAAAACAAAACAGCTATGCCACATAATCGCGATTAGTTTGATTAAAATAACAGGGTTATTTATTTATTTAACTTCACCCATCTCTAAAGGTGAAATGGTGTCCCTTGCCCCGAATTTCTGCCTCCAAAATGACAAAATATTTTAATTGTAATTTAAAGCCATTGTGAGCCTTGGAAAGTTTTTCGCTTGTGTAAACCACTGAGTAAAATCAAACACCTAAATAAAGCACCTTTTATAAATATGAACTAGAACAAAGTAACAAGAGCTTCAGCTACGTATGTTACATTTATGGCAGTGTTCTGTGTGCTTTTATGGCTGTGTGCAACCTAAATTCACATGGAATCCACTGGTAAGCCTGAAAATGACCATCGACATCAGGTGGCGCTGAACTCCACTTCCGGTTGCAATGTCACCTGAAAAAGAAACACACATTATTTTAAAATCTGAAATGAAAGAGGACGTCAGTGCTGACTAGGGATGAGCATAAAAATAAACTAAGAAAGGAAACACTGGTCTAAACTCGTCGGGTTCATCTTCACGATACAACACTGGCATCGAAAGGAGAGTTCAGAATATTCCCACAGGGATTCTCCCACGCCCATAAGAAATAATATCCAAACATTTTAAACTCCCATCCAACCGGGGCAGATTATATTACGTCCAGTCGTTGGGTACTACCTTGAAGTTTGCATTCAAGGGGAGAAGCCCACTGAATGTAGTCTCTCCTGTAAAAGGAGACTAAAGCCCGGTCTTGCGATTCTTTGTCGTCCCTGATGTCCAAGGTCAGACAAAGTGTTTTTGAATCTTTGTTATTTTGTAGAAGTTCTTGTACAAATAGCCAACCGGCTTGTCTTGGGTCGGATTCTGTTTTCCAGTCTAAGCAAAAATAGGATGAGGAAAAAGAAAAGAAAAAATGCTGTTCATTTCTTAATAGTCAGTGTTAAATTGGTTCATTGTAAGATGTCTTACAATAGATAAATACTAGAAATACATACCATTTGTTGCAGTAATTTCTTTGGCTTGTTCCATAGCTGTAGACACTGATCTGGCTGTGCTGAAGAAAACTGACACAAAACAATCTACATCCTTTCAGAGTTGCAGTGAAAATTTGACTATGACATCCAAATGACAGTACATGCCATTAACTTTAAGCTTCTTTATATTCCTAAAAACTGCCAAGCAAAAATTGGAGCTTTAAAACAGCAGTGTGTAACATTTGATTGTTAATGTCAACTCTTTGTGTGAATTCAACTCATCAGTTGCGCTTCTGTGATATAAGCTAACAGCTAGTAGTGTTCAACACACGGCAGCGTGCTAACATTAGTTAGCTGTCGATGGAGTCAAAGCTAAGCATTAATCCTTAAACTTTATCAATTAAAATTAAGAAACTTCAGGCAATGACTTACGCACGTAACGTCCTCAGCGGAGACACTGCACTTAATGAGACGGTTGTGCGGTATGTATGTAGCTTTGGAGTTACCCTCGGGCAAAAGGCAACGTGTCAACTTCTGATCTGTTTGAATTTCTGAAGGCTCCGTTTTCCAAATGTGGAAATGAATTTACTGAGTGCATCAAGAAAATAGTCCGACTAATGTTATCACATTGTTCAACATTAAAAGTGAGCAAAGATGGCAGGTCGAGTCCTTATCAAGATCATAATCTATCAACAACGTGAGCATTATTTGAGAAAAACGGAACTGTTTGGAAGTAAACTCTCACTTGTTTAATAAGCGACGCATTGACATATGTAATTCACTGTCTTTGCAGTTTGATTGAGTCAGGGTTTTGTTTTTTTTGTGCATTTTCATCAATGTCCACTGCGGAAGTATGTACTTAATAAACACGAGACTTAAAATGATGGAGGAAGCAGCAACTGAGTAAAGTGCTGTGTCCCATTCAATATTTGAACCGCTACTTTGAACAGAATTTCTTCGAAACGTAAACAATGAAGCTGATGCTTGACGGGAGAGTGAGCGCATTATTAAAAAAAAAGTAGATACTGTACAACGTAATATTTGAAGACACGACTGTGTGCGCTTACCTGTGCACGCGGTGATCCGCTCTATATTGCCGCTTTTCTGTGCATTGAGCCTTTTGGGGTTGATGAAATTCTAGCCCCCAAGTGACTAAGCTGGTTGAACTTGTCAGTGCAGGTATTGCTAAGGCAACTTTAACTGTTCTACACGTGTTCCCTCGGGCTACATCACATTTAACCATTTGACTGCCTGCTCATCCAAATGGGACAGCACATTTTGAGTTAACGTCCGACTAAAAAGAGGATTCATCTCAGCCTGATTGAGACAACTTTAATACTGAGGAGTGTTTTTAGGCGAGTGGGAGGGGGCGCATATTTTTCTCACCTCATAAACCAGAGGCCTTAATGGCCCAATGATATGTACATGCTTCTAAACACTCCAGTCCAAAAGTACGGTTACATTGAGACATTTTTTTCAATAGAGTGAAAACATTTGGCTTTGACATCAACAGATGAATATGGATAAGAGGTCAGTAGTTGGTTATTCATTTGATTGGTTCTTCGTTTACAGAATTTTACTGGATTGGCTACACAATTTAGAATATTTGTAATACAGTAATACACTAAATTGTTAGGTGCGCAAAAGTTTTGGAACAGGTAGACTTCAATTTGAGTGAAGCGAATAAGGCTTGATATTAAGTTGCAAGAACTGCATGACGCTTCTGATCCATTTACCGTCCGTCAGCAAACTGTTGTATTTTTGCATTTTTCTTTTGTGAAGCTTTCACCGCAGCCTCTTTAAGTTGTTGTTTTTTTAAAACCTTCTTGGCAGGTAAAATGCAGGCTCTGCAGTGGTTAAAACCTGGATATCGACTTTGCCAATCTACAACAATCACCACCTTTTTCCCTGATGAATTCCTTTGTTGTTTTGGCAGGTTGCTGCATGAAGAAGGATTTACTCATCAGCCCAGTTGCATCTTTCTTGGAACTGGCAGACAAGATGTTTCTTGTAGACTTCTGGTTTCAGTGTGCCGGCCCGGAGCCATCATCTTGTTAATCAATGAAGATTGGTGAGCCCATTCAGTTATTTCAACCGTGGCTCACAGATGGGCATGGTGCATTTATTTATCCATTTATTTATTTATTTGACATTATGCAGTAAAACAATTCAGAGATTTTCCCATTCATTTTGATGACATTACGCCAGACAGTTCTTTGTGTGGCGTGATGCATGAAAAATATAAAAGTACAGCAGAGTGAAAAGTGAATAAAAATGATTAAAAAACAATGCGATAAATATAAACACTTATGTTGTTGTAATTCATTGGAACAGTTGTCTTTGTTGCTCCGTTGCAACATCAAAGTATGACTCTGCAACACACACCCTTCCAGATGTCCCTCGGGTTACAGTAACACAAGTGTCCCATTGTCACAACAGCGTCTGTCAGGGTCTGCCACTGAATCGGGTTGGGGGTGGGGGGTGTTATGCCTCATAGGCCATTAGAAGATTAGCTATGACATGACCTCCCTTACGCACGCGCACGCACACACGCACACACACACACACACACACACACACACACACACACACACACACACACACACACACACACACTTGACACATTTTGCACTCTTCTACCCATAATCCCTCAGTCATAAACCACTTCCCGTTTTGTGAGGCAGGGAAACAAAGCAACACATCATGTGAGTGTGTTTGCGAGCGTCTGACTTGAGCGTGTCTTTCAAACAAGCTGAGCAAAAAAAAAACGGCGATGCTGCATTATTGTGAGTACAGTATTTGGAGCTTAGTAAATGTATTGATTCGAGCATGCGTTGTACAGGATGCTGTATTTGCATGAGGGAGATGGGTACTTGTGTTTACAGCGTGGTCACATGTTCATCTCTTGACTGGCATGCAAGGTAAAAGACCATGCTAGAGCTGTATTGACCAATTTAAGCGATGTTTCGGCCAATCAAAACTTGAAATGTAACCACGTGTTCATTGAAAGAAAATAAATATTCACCATTGTAATCAATGTTGCTATGTCAGTTTGTAAAAACTGCATTGCAGCGGAAATGTCCGATAACGTTACAAATAGGAACTGGATATATTGAATTGAATACAACTTTATTGTCAAATGTGCTGTACGTATGTGTAACATACAGCACAGATGAAATTTCTTCCCTCTCAACATAAAACGAGAGGAGCCGCTGCGGGTGTCCGCGCCGCCATCAAAAGAAAAGTTAACAAAAAATGACAAAATAATACAAGACAACACATGAGACACACACAATCGTGCAATCTTCACCACTTTCCTGCATACACTTTGTTGTCTGAAGCAGTTTATATATATATATATATATATATATATATATATATATATATATATGAATTCTGATGGTCAAGTTTGGTTGTTTGTTAATGAGATATCAGTGATTCATTTCACTTCCGAGACCTCTGCTGTTTTTGTTCACTTCTCAAGATAACCTGCTTTTATCTATAGAGAAAGAGTGTCTGGTGGCACAGTGGGCGACTGGTTAGCATGCCAGCCTCCCAGTGCAGAGGTGCAGGGTTTGATTCCAGCTAACCCCTCACCCTAACCCGTGCCCCCAATACTAACCCCAACCCTAACACCAACCCCCAAACCTAACCCTAACCCCAACCCCAACCCTAACCCCTAGCTCTAACTCCTAACCCCCAATCCTAAACTCCAAGCCTAGCCCCACCCCTAACCCTAACTACAAACCTTACCCTAACCCCCAAACCTAACCCCCAACCCTAACCCACAACCCTAACCCCTAACCTCC